GAACTTTCTTTTGATTGGTTGTCTCTCAGTGATAAGTGTTTCAGTGGCTTACTGGGCTAGTCACTGCTACTATCATCCAGAAGAATGGCCACCAATCTGTAGTCACAGCAATAAGACCGTAAATGACAGCGGACTAATAAAAAAGCAGCAGAAAAGATCATTGACCGAAAATATGTCATTGTTGAAATGTAAGTATAGGTATGCCAAGCTCTCGGGATTCCAGAGTTGTTGGGTTTTGCAGTCTGCTCCACCCCGAAACTATGAACATTCCTTTGTATGCGGCACCAAAAAATGTGACGTCAATGTTTATTGGTAATCTGAGTATTATCCTCACAAATGTTACTACAAGGCTGAAATCTGAAGTGTTGGGAGTTATGATGGAACCTGAATGGTGTTTTCATTGAGGCAGCAAATCAAATGAAGGAGAAGAATTTTGTAGTCAGTCTAAACTTAATGTCACTGGGAAAGCACCTGAGGACGGGGACTTTGTACAAGTAAACACTACTAAGAATGGATGGAAAATACATAGAAAACATTCCTAACAATGCATCCCACAGGAAATACTATGGAGTAGGGCGAGTTTTCATTAACCAGATTTAGTTGGTTACCCTAACCCAGTGGTGGGCAAAACCTTTTTTTTCAACTGAGCCAAATCTCGCCAAAATCACGATCAGAAGATTTTATTTTGAAGAGCCAGGTATGTTGTGGGTAAAACTGAAAATACATCTCCCATATAGTAATTCATCCCCCATATAGTAATTCATCCCCCATATAGTAATTCATCCCCCATAGAGTAATTCATCCTCCAATAGTAATGTCATCCCCCATAGAGTAATTCATCCCCCATAGTAATTCATCCCCCATAGCAATTCATCCCCCATATAGCAATTCATCCCCCATAGAAATTCATCCCCCATATAGTAATTCATCCCCCCATATAGTAATTCATCCCCATATAGTAATTCATCCCCCATAGTAATTCATCCCCCATAGTAATTCATCCCCCATAGTAATTCATCCCCCCATAGTAATTCATCCCCCATAGTTATGATCCCCCATATAGTAATTCATCCCCCCATAGTAATTCATCCCCCATAGTAATTCATCCCCCATATAGTAATTCATCCCCCATAGTAATTCATCCCCCATATAGTAATTCATCCCCCATAGTAATTCATCCCCCATATAGTAATTCATCCCCCATATAGTAATTCATCCCCCATATAGTAATTCATCCCCATAGTAATTCAATCCCCCATAGTAATGCATCCCCCCATAGTAATTCATCCCCCATATTAAATTCATCCCCCATATAGTAATTCATCCCCCCATAGTAATTCATCCCCCATATAGTAATTCATCCCCCATAGTAATTCATCCCCCATATAGTAATTCATCCCCCATATAGTAATTCATCCCCCATATAGTAATTCATCCCCCATAGTAATTCATCCCCCCTATAGTAATTCATCCCCCATAGTAATTCATCCCCCCTATAGTAATTCATCCCCCCTAGTACTTCATTCCCCCATATAGTAATTCATCCCCCATAGTAATTCATCCCCCATATAGTAATTCATCCCCCATAGTAATTCATCTCCCATATAGTAATTCATCTCCCATATAGTAATGCATCTCCCATATAGTAATGCATCTCCCATATAGTAATTCATCCCCCATATAGTATGTCCCCCATTAGTAAGTCCCCCATATAGTAACCCCCCCCATATAGTAATTCCCCCCCATATAGTAAGTCCCCCCCCATATAGTAAGTCCCCCATATAGTAATTCATCCCCCATATAGTAAGTCCCCCCTGTGTCAATTCACTTACCTTTGCTCCGCGCGTTCCTCTCGTCGTGCTTCCCCGCGCCGTTCTGGTCTTCAGGGCGGACTGTGAGAGGAGAGGAGTTCGTCACGCTGCCCCGCCTACATCCTGGCTGCCCCAGCCTACATCCTGACAGCTGCAGAGTCCTGACTTTTGGGGCGGCCGCCCGAGAGGAGATGGGGAGCGGGCGGCCGTCCAGAGGAGGGAAGGGAGGGGAGGGGGGGTGTGGGAGTCCGCCCGGCACACGCCCGTCCGAGAGGAGGGAGGGGAGGGAGAGGAGGGGAGAGGAGGGAGGGGAGGGGAGCGGGTGCCCGGCACACAGAAGATAACCCAAATGTAAGCCAAGTATGGAAAGATCAATCAGTAGATTTTACTGAAGGAGTCCAGGTATGTTGTGGGAAAACTTGTTATCCATGGACCCCCCAAGGACAGGAAGGATGGTGTTACTTAGCCACCTTGGTACCAGTAATGGATGTCATGGAGGGACACACAGTGATGCTTTACTGGCTAGTAGTCATCCCTGATATCCTATGAAATGTAGGCATGAGAGGGGTTTTCATGAGCTGTAAGCCATAATCATCACAATGATGACAAATCACGGCTGAACTATCTTGCTTTGCATGGAATGAGTCTCATATATTATTTTTCACCTTTTAAGCTGCTGCACTGAAATCAATGAACTTTTACAACATATTCTCATTTTTCGAGTTTCACCTGTAGTTTCGTGTTAACAACCACTTGTAACAACTTTGTTTCATGAATTCAGTTTCCATTCTGTAGAAATGGAACTGCCTTATATGGTGGTCTTCAGTCATTTGTGGTTGTTATCTCTCTGATATAAGAGTGCAATATATCATTGGTCATTACAATATATCATTGGTCATTACAATTCTGGTCATTACAATATATCATTGGTCATTCTGAATTTGTAAAAACTGCTATCATGTATTAAACAGAGATTTAGTTTGCACACTTCGGTGTCCGGAGCTTTATTTCTCCTGAGCTCAGAGGCTAGAAATTACCGAAGATATTTAAGGGCTACAGACATAGGTTGAATCCTAGCAACACCTGTGCTAAAAATCCACATTTTGCTGCCAGCTGATCCCCAGAACCTCCATAAATCCAGTCTAGATACATAAATTGTGTCTGCAGCACAGAGAAGGAAGATTATCCGAGAGAAATCCAGGAATACAGGATGGGGGAACACAGCTCAGGAAAGTGACCAGGGGATTACAGGCTGATATCACCCAGTCCCCGCCCTACTCTGGACCAATCAGTGAGCAGTATGGGTGGAGGAATGGATTTAGTGTTCATGACCCACCTGTGCTGATCTCTGTAGGAGTGTCCTCCTCTATAAATGTCCCCGTTATTCCATCCTCCTCCATAGACTGCTGATCATCCCTCACATACGCCTCTTCTTCTTCTGATTTCACCTCAACTTTTATATCTATCAGATCTTCACCCTAAATCAAGAGAAGAAAAGAAAATATCATCTGTAAGACATAAGCGTTAATATTGTGACATCACATAAAAAAATCCACACATTGTCTTTATGAATCCATGTTCTAGATGCTCCATCCCACCAACCTTGTAATAGTGAGGGATGGTGTGACCTTCCTGTGTGGAATCCCGGGAATACAGAGGACGGGGACATCTCTCTGGTGGGTTCCTGGTATTAGGTGGCTCCATCATATCCTTGTGTCCTTCTGAAAACTCCTCCATCACTCCATACTCCTCATCCTCCTCTTTATACTCTTCTTTAACATCAATATTATCATCCCCGAGGATTCCACTCTGAAAGATATAATAAAAACATTCATTGTAACAAACATGCTGTGTATAAATCACAACTACCAATAATTGTCATCATCTACCTGATGATGGTGAGGGATGGTGTGACCTTCCTGTGTGGAATCCCGGGAATACAGAGAACGGGGACATCTCTCTGGTGGGTTCCTGTAGCTGGATGACTCCACCATGGTGTCCTGGTACAGATCTTTGTGTTCTTCTGCAATCTCTGACTCCTCCATCCCCCCATCCTCATCCTCCTTCCTCTTTTATCTCTTCTTTAACCTCAACTTTAGGATCTCTCAGGTTTCCATTCTGAATATATATAATAAAAATGACATCAATGGTAACAATGCAGATAATGTACAGATCCTAATGATACTATCAGTGATTGTTCCTCATCTACCTGATGATGGTGAGGCATGGTGTGACCTTCCTGTGTGGAATCCCGGGAATACAGAGGACGGGGACATCTCTCTGGTGGGTTCCCATGACTGGATCCATCTGTAGGAAACACACACACTGACTGAATCCATTGTTTCTATGTGTTTTTATCAGATGATGGGGGATCTAGGTGGATCCTCCGTACTGCTCTCTCCTTTACAATAAAGTCTCCTCTTACCCGGTGATGTGAGGGGCGGCTGATTGTCCATCATGACGTCCTTGTAGAGATCCTTGTGTCCTTCTAAATACTCCCACTCCTCCATGGAGAAATAGACAGTGACACCCTGACACCTTATAGGAACCTGACACACACACAATGATACAGTCACCATCCAGACACATCCCTTGTCTGTTACTGGAGAATGTCCCAGAATTCCCGGCACCGCTCACCTCTCCTGTCAGCAGCTCAGTGATCTCTCTGGTGACTTCTAGAATCTTCTTCTTCTTTCTCTCTTCTATCAGGGAGGGAGGTGGAGGCAATGTGATGTCATATGATCTCCAGACTTCTCCAGACGTTCTGGTGCCAAGTTTCCTCCCCCCAGGGTCACTGCAGGTGTGGAGAAAAGCTGTGTAAGAAGATATGGAGGAGAGATGAGGAGGAGATCCAGGAATCAGGAGAAAGGTCAGGGCAAGCAACAGACGAGCGCATCCAAGAGACCAAGCCGGGGTCACTACACAGAAAATCAATCCAAGGAAACAACAGGCAGGACGAGGAATAGCAAGAAGGAGCTGAGAGACAAATGAGAATATTGCTCAGCCAATGGGAGATGATCTCAGCATGACTTCCATCATGAAGGAGATGAGGGGGAGGGGAGGAAGTCACTGAAGGTGACCATAGATCCATGGAAATTCAGCTGGTTCAGCAGGGATCGCTCACATTTCCATCCATGTGTGGCCACTGCCGGATAAAAGCCACTCCCCCCCAGCGGCTGCAGCCAATAGCTTCAGTGCTGATCCGTGTATTCTGAGAGCGGAGGAGTCCCCCCCATTGTCAGAATACAAGAGTGCAGCGGGGAGGATTCCCCCATCCACCTCCAATGTGTGGATGGGGGAATCACTTCAGTTTTTATGCTCATCCCGCTGGCTGAATGATAAAACTGAACCATGTAGGCCAGCTTTGGGAGCAAGATATATATTATTTTTTATATTATTATTATACAGGATTTATGGCGCCAACAGTTTGCTCAGCGCTTTACAATATAACAGGAGACAATACAGCAACAATACATTTCGATACAAGAGGGATAGGAGGGCCTGATCCTGGGAGCTTACAATCTAGGAGGGAGGGGCTAGTGGTACAAAAGGTAACAACTGTGGGGGATGGACTGGTAGGAGGAATAGAAGATTCCGTTATTGGCTGAAGGCAGGATAGGCTTCCCTGAAGAGAGAGGTTTTCAGGGATCGCCTAAAAGGGAACATAATAAGTGATAGTCAGATAGATTGGGGTAGAGAGTTCCAGAGGATTGGGAAGGCTCTGGAGAAGTCCTGGAGACAAGCATGGGAGGAAGAGACAAGGGACCTAGAGAGCAGGAGGTCGAGAGGACAGTTTGGGTGATATTTGGAGACAAGATCGGTGATGTAATTTGGGGCAGAGTTATAAATGGCTTTATATGTTATTGTTAATGTTTTGAATTTTATTTGTTGGCCCAATGGGAAGCCAGTGGAGGGATTGGCAGAGAGGGGTGGAGGACACTGAGTGGAGGCCAGTGGAGGGATTGGCAGAGAGGGGTGGAGGACACTGAGTGGAGGCCAGTGGAGGGATTGGCAGAGAGGGGTGGAGGACACTGAATGGAGGCCAGTGGATGGATTGGCAGAGAGGGGTGGAGGACACTGAATGGAGGCCAGTGGAGGGATTGGCAGAGAGGGGTGCAGATACAGAACGGTTAGTAAGGTGGATGAGTCTGGCAGCAGCATTCATGATAGACTGAAGAGGGGATAGCCTGCGATGAGGTCGGCCAATGAGGAGGGAGTTACAATAGTCAAGGCGAGAGATAACAAGGGAGTGAATAAGTTGCTTAGTGGTTTCCGAGGTTAGGAACGGGCGTATCTTGGAGATGTTGCGGAGGTGAAGTCTACAAGATTTGGACAGTGATTGGATTTGGGACTGAAGGGACAGATGGGAGTTTATGATTACACCTAGTACCCTGGCATGAGGGAGGGGGACTGATGGTTGTATTATTGATCTTGATGGAGAAGTCAGGGGAGGGGGCACGGGCTGGGGGGAATACTAAGAGCTCAGTTTTGGAAAGATTGAGTTTGAGGAAGTGGAGTGACATCCATGCCGATATGTCTGATGAAAAACAATGGTGAACTATCTGCACTACCCGGAATAAACTATTGTTCTAGGAATGGGTTGCTGCTACCTGGCTATACACCTGGATAGAATGGGATCAAAATTATAACAAAATTGGTGCTGCTCTCCCACACTTGTACTTATATAAATAATTACATCAAAATGAGGTTTCAGTGACACCCCTAGTGAATCCTCCTGAGTGTAATTATCACAAACCCAATTCTTCATATTATTATACAATCTTATACAGTGATGTTTGATAAACCATATGAAATAAAATATAAATGTGCAAAACACATAAAAACTCAATATATAAACCCACTTGTGTCCCTAAACAGGGTGAAATCACAAACATGTACTAAACCACACGTGATAAAACACTTGGCAGAAGTGAATGCCCAAAGGTGCAGTGGAAATAGACTGACAAATGGCACTATTGTGCCTATAGAAACAACCAATAGGACGGTCAGGATAAATGGACCCTGACTATAGGACAATCTACAAGGATTATAATGAATCCTTCAACATAAATGTGTGACCACCACTTAACAAGTGCCCACATGTACCAAAGTGTAAATTGCCGTGCTCCAGTCCCCAAACTTGGGACTATACTGCTATATAAATAGCAAAAAATAAAAAAAAAAACACACATAAATTAAATCAATTTATAAAAAAGTCCATAAAACACGTGCCACCAATTACACTGTTCAACAAATTTTTATTTTTTGCCAGTTTTGGAAACAAAAGGATCCATTTCTTAATGAATTTCACATTCTGAGTTCAAATATAACAATGAAATTTGTCAATTGGCTCTAGTTTTTCTGTAAACAGAAAGTTTTCTACTATAGGCGTAATGACTACATATGTACAATAATTATATAGATAGATGTCTTTCCACAAATATAAAGCAAGTGATATTGACTACATAACAAAGCCTAAATGGCATAATATATTGCATAGGATTACCAAGAAAAATTATAGCCATAAGCTAAGTTGAATCATTTTAATACTTAGGATTCTCATAGTTTTGTCTTCAGTTTGTGTCGGTTTTGCTTCTTTTGGCTTTTCTCTTGTATTCGAGGAAAGGGCTATCTCTTACAACTGCACGTGACTACACGCTTCAGGTTCTTCCTCACTTGACTCAACCACGAAGGATTCTGGTGCTTTAGGAATTGGTAGCCCCTCTTCATGAGGAACTGGACGTATTGCCGATGGAATATTTGGATAGTGCACAGATAACTTTTTCTTCTTATTTAGCCCTTTTACAATTGGAGGCACCATACAAAAGTAACAATTACTTACATGATCTGTTGGCTCTCTCCAAATCATTGGCACAGCGAAAGGAATAGATGCCTTTTTCCATTCAACCATTGCTCCAGTGCCGTCCCACAAGAATTGCAGCATATATGTGGTGCCCAGCTCTTGTCCTGGTCTCCTATCTTGCAGCCAAAATACAAGTTGTAGGCTTTCTTAATCATTCCTGTTATCCTCCTTTTTTGTGAGATAAAAGTTATTTCACCGCAGATATAGCAGAAATGATCTGCTTTATTCACACAAGTTCGAGGCATTACTGAGTAGCCTATATAAGCATCAAACGAAATGTAAAGACGAACTACAATCAGCTACAGATACTGCAGCTTTCATGCAGTGAAGTGATGCAATTAAAGGCTAATATTGCATCATCTCAGTATACATGACATTTTCTATTGGTCACCAGTATCAATTGCGCAATATGCAGCTGAAGTTGCATCATAATTTTGAATGGCTTACGTCATTAGATGGGTGAATATATCATGGAAACTAGAGCCAATCAACATTTTTTTAGGGCCATTTTCGTTTTCAGCACCCCAAAATTATGTAAACTTAAATCATTAGCTAATTTTATGCCCAAAACTTTTTACCTGTTGAACAGTGTTATTAATAAATAAAAACAAAATTGTCCACGTGTGTAATCTTCAATAAGGCTGGATATATAGAAACCTCCAGCCATCAATAGAAATCTGGCAGGTGAACAAAAAGTGTAATCCTTCATCGGTAAGATTGCCCCCCCCCTCACCTTCATGAAGCGACCCCACAGGGTCAAAGTGCTTTTCTGCTATTAAGCACAGCCAACCGCTCAATCCTCCACGTCAGATTCGGTATCACAAACAGTGGTGGTATCCCCCTTCAGAACTTACAGGTATCACCTCTCCTGATATCTGGATGGTTTTCATATGATCTACTTGTACCTCAGCTTCCTCATCGGTGTTTAAAAAACAAGAAGAATCCTTCCATCATGTGATATTGTTTCATTTATTGATGTAAAAGAATTCTATAAATGCTCACTCACATGAGTTATGAGAAAACAATGCTCACAGATCCTCATATGAACTCCTGGGTGTACTCCTATGGGTGTATCAAGATGGTCCTTCTGCCGGAAGTGATGTCACCACGTCTCTATCTATTTATATAGCAGTATAGTCCCAAGTTTGGGGACTGGAGCACGGCAATTTACACTTTGGTATATGTGGGCACTTGTTAAGTGGTGGTCACACATTTATGTTGAAGGATTCATTATAGTCCTTGTAGATTGTCCTATAGTCAGGGATAATTTATCCTGACCGTCCTATTGGTTGTTTCTATAGGCACAATAGTGCCATTTGTCAGTCTATTTCCACTGCACCTTTGGGCATTCACTTATACCAAGTGTTTTATCACGTGTGGTTTAGTACCGGTTTGTGATTTCATCCTGTTTAGGGACACAAGTGGGTTTATATATTGAGTTTTTATGTGTTTTGCACATTTATATTTTATTTCATATGGTTTATCAAACATCACTGTATAAGATTGTATAATAATATGAAGAATTGGGTTTGTGATAATTACACTCAGGAGGATTCACTAGGGGTGTCACTGAAACCTCATTTTGATGTAATTATTTATATAAGTACAAGTGTGGGAGCGCAGCACCAATTGTATCATAATTTTCATGCCGATATGTCACTTAGTAGGTTAGTAATGCGAGAGGAGACTGAAGGGTGAGGTGGAGGAGACACTGAAGGGGTGAGGTGAGGAGGAGACTGAAGGGGTGAGGTGAGGAGGAGACTGAAGGGGTGAGGTGAGGAGGAGACTGAAGGGGTGAGGTGAGGAGGAGACTGAAGGGGTGAGGTGAGGGGTAGAAAGATAGATTTGTGTGTCATCAACATAGAGATGGTACTTAAAGCCATGGGAGTTTATCAAGTGACCAAGGGAGGTGTAGATGGAGA